AGTCCCTGGGGAATTCAGGGGTAAAGTACCACGTTCTAGGCTGGGAACAAGCATCAAAAGGACAGCAAAAGTTTGGTCTGAGAGGCAGATTGCATGAAAAAAAGCCTCTGACACCCAGCCAGAAACTGCCAGGACCACAGAAACAGTAATTGGTAAACCAGTACAGGAGATATGAGGAGCAGAGACAAAGCAATCTCGCCAAGAGTATCATCTGATCTGAGGCAAAGTCCTGAAACTCCTTGCTGGGTAGAGATAACACCCAGCAAAAGCTCAGCCCACAGTCCCAGATGCTTGCCATGCTTTTGTCTGAGTAAGGACAGCATGAGGGAAGAAGAGAAGAAGGGGTGGTTATCCTCCAGAGAAGGAGAGCTCTCCCATTGTCTCCTCTTCCCACAGGATTTGCCAAGAAGACTTTCATCTCCTACTCGGTCACATTTGGGGACAGCTTCCGACAAGGCAAGGTGGTGGCCATAGACCCTGGGAGGCAACAAGTGGTGCTCAGTGATGGTGAGGTGGGTGTTGCAATGCCCTGGCTGCCTTATGGGATCACCTGCCAGTGCAGGCAGCCAGCCTTCAGCAGGGTGTGTTCCATCCTCCTGAAGAACTTGGCATCTTTTCCTGCACAGCCCCATCCCTTCCAGCCAAGATAAGTGGCCTTCAGCTGTGCTGGGATGTGGGTGTGCAGTAAATACCCAACCCCATCTCCTGCCCAGCTGAGCTTTTATTATTAGAGCTGGATTTAGAGCTCAACAATTAAACCTGGGGCTCAGATCCTTATTTAACCACAGGAAGAGCCAAGAGCAGCAGCATCAATCACTCTTTTCAGCCAGAGCATCTCACCTCTGTTCAGGGGAGAGTGAAGGAGAGAAGTTAGTCTCTGGAACCAGCTGTGAGTGTCCAGCAGAAATATCAGGTTATTCCTGGTAAATTTAGGGTGATTTTAATTTCTTTAAAGCTCTCAACTCACCTGAATGGTGCTTAGCTCAGACCTTGAGGAACAGTTACTTGGTGTGACCTGGCCTGGGTCTCTTCCTAAAGTCACTTCCTGACAGTGACAAGTACTCTCCTGTTACCAGCAAGGGATGGAGATGAGGGAATGAGTGACCATACCTAGGAGTTAACCACTGCATTCTAGGCTCTGCTTTTAGGAGGTCTAATATCCCATTCTACTTTCTGCCCTCCCAGGAGCTTCACTACTCCCATCTCATTCTTGCAACAGGCAGTGATGGGCCATTCCCTGGGAAGTTCAACCAAGTCATTGACATGGAAAGTGCCATCCAGACCTATGAAGACATGGTTAAAGAGGTGAGGAATCCACTCTTAGGAAATGCTGCCTGCCTTTGTTCAGCCTCCCTGTCCCAGATACCACTGTGGCTATCTGGAGCCAGCTGTGTCTAAGAGAAAGGAACACAGGGAGCAGCCAGGACAAGGAGCTCATCATGGCTTCTCTAGCAGAAGGGAAAACCTGAAAAGGGCAGGCAGGAAGAGTGCACAGGGCACTCCTTTGTTGTTGCCTCTTAATGAGCTAAGAGGTTTATTGTTGTTGGGCCTGTGCTGTGTCCCAGAATGTTCATGGAGTGACTGAAGGTGTCTGGCTTCCTGCCCTTTGCAGTTCTCTTGTAACACAAATTTTCTCTTGAAGGTTGAGAAATCTCAGCGCATCCTGGTAGTGGGAGGTGGTGCAGCTGGAGTGGAGATGGCTGCCGAGATCAAAACGGAGTACCCAGACAAAGAGGTGGGAACATCTTCATCACAATGAACTTCATCCTGGTTCTGCTGCTGTTCCATGGTGCTGCTGCTGGAGGCACCTGAGATGACTGCACACCTGGCTGCTGAGCCTGTAGCCAGGCACCAGCAAGGACTGTGGCACTAGGTGCCCCTTCCTGGCTTGTTCTTGCAGGAATCAATTAGAGTGGAGGGAGGCCAGCTGTAGCTGCTCCCACCTTGCACACAGTGAGTCCTGCTCTGTTCCTGTGTCCCCATTTGCTGTTTTGTCCCCAACAGGTCACCCTCATTCACTCCAAAACTGCACTGGCTGACGTGGAGCTGCTGCCCAGTGTCCGTCAGGAGGTGAAAGAGATTCTCCTCAGGAAAGGAGTCCAGCTGCTGTTGAGTATGTCCTTAATGATGCCTCTGAACACCTACCAGCTGCTCTTCCTTTAGCCAAAGCATCTCCTGATGTCTTCTTTCTGACTTTTTTGGTTACACATGGCTCCCCTGAATTCCTGTTCCTCTGGGTTAGCTGGAAACCACAGCCTAGCAAAGGTTTGTGACCCAGGGCTCTCTGTTGCACCAGGTGAAAAGGTCAGCGACATAGAAAACCTCAGGCCAAACCAGTTCCAGAAGGACATGGTAGTGAGGACAGAGAGGGGCACTGAAGTGGTTGTTGACATGGTGGTGCTGTGCACAGGGATCAAGATTAACTCTTCTGCATATGCTGCTGCATTTGGTAAGTGAAAAAACCCAAACCATGGGGTGGGGAGAAGCAGTAGTTCTTCAGTGTGTGGTGCCTGAGGGGTGTGAGGTGGGGAATGGACTGTGCACAACCTGCAGGGGTGATTCTGCCCAAATATCAAAGGGTGGTGCATTGCATGAGACTGCAGTGATTAACTACAGCAAGGCAAAAAGCACCCTGACACATAGAAAAGAGGGTGAAAAACAATCCCTCACTGTGTCAATTACATCTGCAGCATTTTGGGGTCTCAGGCCACAACAAGCAACACCAAGCTGCTTCTAAAACCTGCTGTTTGGCAAAACAGGTGACAAAATGGCAAGTAATGGTGCTTTGAAAGTTAACAAGCACCTCCAGGTGGAAGGCTACGAGAACATCTATGCCATTGGGGACTGTGCAGATCTCAAAGAGCCCAAGATGGCCTACCATGCTGGGCTCCATGCCAACATCGTGGTGACCAATATCATCAACAGCCTGACACAGAAGCCTCTCAAAACCTATGAGCCAGGTAAGGTCAGGAAGGTCAGCTGCAAGGAACAGCTGTCTCAACTCTCATGAGACTCTGAACTCACTGAATTCACTCTGAAGGAACTCAAAACTGGGGTAATATCAGCTTATAGCTCAGCTTCATATTAGTCCTTGCCAAAGACACAATGTAGATATTAATTACCTGTGTCACTCTGCCACACAACGTCTTCTTTCTTCCCTAATGTCTTGATAAATCTACTGGTGGGAGTCTGCTAGTCATGAAACTTCTTTTCTTAAAATTTCTCACTGTCCAGTTAAATCCCAGGAGCAAGATGACTTCTCTTTTCCTTCTTTCTCCCCTTAAACTACAACAAACACACACTAAACAATCTGGTCTCCAAAATCTAGCTGGGTAATGGGCACTGATGTAAACTTACCAGAACTATGCTGAATGCTGTTCCACGTGGATGCAGGGGAAGTGGACAACAGTTGTTTTAGACCTCTACCTCTCCTTTGCAGGGTCACTAACATTCCTGCTCTCCATGGGCAGGAATGATGGTGTGGGCCAGGTGAATGTCTTGATAAATCTACTGCTGGGAGTCTGCTAGTCATGAAACTTATTTTCTTTTCTTAAAATTGCTCACTGCCCAATTAAATCTCGGGAGTGAGATGACTTCTCTTTTCCTTCTTTCTCCCCTTAAACTACAACAAACACACACTAAACAATCTGGTCTCCAAAATCTAGCTGGGTAATGGGCATTGATGTAAACTTACCAGAACTATGCTGAATGCTGTTCCACATGGATGCAGGGGAAGTGGACAACAGTTTTGTGTTTTTTGTTTTACACCTCTACCTCTCCTTTGCAGGCTCACTAACATTCCTGCTCTCCATGGGCAGGAATAATGGTGTGGGCCAGGTGAATGTCTTGATAAATCTACTGCTGGGAGTCTGCTAGTCATGAAACTTATTTCTTAAAATTGCTCACTGCCCAATTAAATTTTTGGAGTGAGATGACTTCCCTTTTCCCTCTTTCTCCCCTTAAACTACAAAAAACCACAAACTGAACAATCTGGTCTCAAAAATCTAGCTGGGTAATGGGCCTTCTTCTTCATGAGCACTGATGTAAACTTACCAGAGCTATGCTGAATGCTGTTCCATGTGGATGCAGGGGAGTTGTTTTACACCTCTGCCTCTCCTTTGCAGGGTCACTAACATTCCTGCTCTCCATGGGCAGGAATGATGGTGTGGGCCAGGTGAATGGTTACTATGTGGGACATCTCCTGGTGACCATTGCCAAGAGCCGGGATCTGTTTGTCTCCAAGAGCTGGAAGAACATGGGGCAGACAATGCCCTCCTGAGAGGGCACCAGGAACAATCCAGCAAGGAGAACAGCAGCTGGAGCAGGGTGAGGGTGCACTTCTGTTGCTTGGACTGGCTGATGTTGTCCTCTGCAGCACCTCCTCAGGCCACCTGTCACTGTGACACATTAAAGGGGTGCCTGCCTTGCTGTCAAGGGGAAGAGGCACTTCCCAAATGAGCTGCACAGGAGTTCCCATGATAAAAACCAGGGAAGAAATGTTTCTTTTACTCTCCCTGCTGAGAGAGCTCTGGGCAACAAGCTTGGCTTACCTTGATTTGTAACAATAAACACTGTGCTTTTCAGAATCTCTGTGGTTTGTTTGTTATGTAGGTTGTTTGTTTTTTTTCCTGGCTTTCTCTATTCTTCCTCTTCTAAGAAGGACCTGATTCTTACAGATCTGGCATCTGCTCTGCAGCTTGAAGGGAGAATGGCTCACAGTGCTGCCAGGGTAATGCCTGTCTAAAACCTGGAAGGGGGTATGGTAGGCCTGGAATGCAACAGAATATAATTCAGCTTTGTGTCAAAATCTCCTCAGCAGCTTTAATTACATCACTTATAGCACCAAACTTCAGCCAGAAAAGCTGCTGGTTGTGATTTGGCAAGCACTGAATTACAGATGCTGCTGCTTTTTCTTTCTTCTCTTCTCCATTTTTTTCTTTTTAGGGTGAGAAATCCCCAGAGCAAAATTAGGGTTTATAATAATAACCACGCTTGACACATCTTTTTCTTTTTTTCTTATAAAACAAACAAAATCACCATGAAATATTCTCAGTAATTACAGAGGTTATTGTGATTTAAAAGCAAAACAGAAGTTCCTCATGCATCACTTCTAAAACCCTTTTCACCTCTCTGTGGGCTGAAGGCAGAAGTTTACCACCTACCCTCAAGGAAGGGGAAAAAGGAACAGAACATTTTTAAGAGCTTTCTTGAAAGTGGCAAGTGTGTGTGTGTGTGAAGAAATCATCACTACAAATCTAAAATGAGGTTACTCTTCAAAAACCTCTAAACTAAAGTAACAAAGGACACTAAACTCCTGAAGCCAGATGATAACTCAATTGTTTAAGGTGATAAAAATGGCATGAAGAAATCAGACTAAACTCCTCTCATCTCTAATCACAGCTCTCCATCGAGTCACAACACGTCACACTACTACCACTCCCCCCTCCTCATCACATTGAAAAAATAAAACCCACCTCTAATGCTTTGAATGCTACTCAAGTTTGTTGAAAAATAAAGTTTCATTTGGCTGCCGTTGCTACTTCGTGTCTAGCTTGGCCATTTCTTGCACATAGATGCCAATGCTTTCACTGTCGAAGAGCAGAAAGTAAATGTTCTTCAAGGAGGAAGAGCTGCTGCCATCAAAGTGGGTAGAAATGGCTCTGAGGGTCACCTGGGCTGCTGTCTGCTTTGGGAAGCAGTTTCTGTGTGGTCAGGGAAGAAAAGAGAGCAGGTGAGTGTAGGGCAGGGATGCTGAGAGAAACCAGCCAGGGCTCTTCCAGCCACAGGCTGCTAAGATAGTGCCACTTGCAGTTTGGCAAAGCCCAAGGATTTGATAGCAATATTCACCTGCTGCTGAATTAAGTTTCCTTAATTTCTGTTTTCATCTGCTTCTGCTTCTTATAACCAAATTTTTTTTATTTACAAATTTTTATTCGTACTTATTTTTATTTTAATTTTTTTATTTATAATAATTTAAAACTTTTTTAGCTTGCCCTTTTGCCTTGCAGGCTAAAAATTTCCAAGGATGATTTTTTTTTTTATTAGCTTAGAACTAAAAAAAACAAACCCAAAACATCACCTACTTAGCTGACTTCCTTGCTCTGTCATTAAAATACTTTGCTTGGGATTCCTGTGAAAATAACTGAAATTATAACTCCAAGCCATATTTAGGTTGAGATGCATTCATTCATTCACTCTTGATGGTAATATTCTCTAACCTACAATCATATTTATATTGAAAACCATCAAAAAGATCTGGCACAACTGAAGTATCCCAATGTTACATCAGTTACTGTTAATAGTCCTTAAGATGGGACAGAGAAAAATGGAAATTCACATAACTGATATAGTATAATTCTTTATCTACCCACAAAACCAGCATTTCGGGTGCAGACATGGAGGCAGAATAAAATGACAGCAAAACCAGAAAGTCCTATTTGAAAAACTGCCTTTTTTCAGGAAATTTTCAGGTACTTTGATAAATGAAGTGTAAACCTGCAGCACCTGGTAAGTCTCTCTGTTTCTGTTAGGAGAAGTAATTGTAAGAGCAACAGAGTGAAATGGAACAAAGCAGCAGAAGGATCTGCACTAAGACTAATGGTCCAAGAATAGATTATTCTGATTCTATGCTCTTAGAAGACATGAAGACTAGAAACTATTTCTATTGGCATTAAAAGCTATAGTTAATTTTTATATTAAAGACCGTTAAAATAATGTATATTGTATAATATTGTAATAATGTACACGTATAATAATGTATATTGTATAATATTGTAATAATACACATTTTGTTTTCACTGAAAACCATAAACAAAAAAAAAAATCTGTATATTAAAAAAATGACTAAAAATGGCACTGCCCCTCTAATCTTTTGTCCTGATCCATAAAAATGTATTTTGCTTTGAAGAGTATCTGTATAAAAACGGCATTTTCACCTCCTGTGTACTCAGTGATGTGTGGTGATTTCACTGATCAAATGCAGTTTTACTTTCATTTTATTCACTGTCAGGCCAACACAAGGGGACTGTACTATGTACTCTACTCTTTGGGCACTACTACCAAAATCAATAGGTACATTTCTATTTCTATTCTATTTCTATTCTATTCTGTTGTATTTACAAATAAATATAAACACACGAACTCTAACACAAAATAACAACTACTGCAGTTAGCAGTAAGATCTCTTGTCATCAGAGACCAACAAACTATTGATTTTAAAAGAAATTTGAAAGAAAAAAAAGAAAAATACTTCATATTTCTTAGTCAAGCACATTCTGCTTGCTAGTTATTAAGAAAGAAATGTGTGGCTTCACACTTGGTTGAATAGTTCACACTTTTGAAAGCAGATCTACATTTGAGAAACAGATTTTCTTTTCTTCTGAAAGGTTTTGTGTGACAAGTCTTTTCAATATCTATTATCAGGGGGGCTTAATGAACACCCCACATCCATGTGGCTCAGGTGGCATCACTGTAACCTGCCTTCAGAATTATGCTGCCATAATCTCATTAGTACAAATGCAGGTTTAATAAGGCTCCCCACAGCAAAATGAAGGGACACAAAACCCGAGGTGATGCAGAGGAATGAAAATGACTGCCTAGCAATATAAAACACAGCAAGCCCACTCAGCTCTCCTGTGGACTGGCTAATTTCTCTTTACAAAGGCTCTCTGGCAGTTTCATGCAAACACTGCACTTCAGTGGATTCCTCTGGAGCAGCTCTGGGTCAGATGGATCAGCAGAGGCAGGGTCACAGAGCAGAGGGCACCTCTCTGTCACAGCAGCAGCTCTGACAGCCAATTCCACCTCTGCTCCCCACACAGGGAGTCCTACCTGCCACTGGGAAACGGGGGGAAAGCCACAGACTTCAACTTCTTGTCTTCTGCAGCTGTTAAGCAGTTCTTGACAGTCTCCTCGAGCTGCTCTTCACACTTGTCCGAGCCCCACTGTGGGATGTGACAGTGGATGACAAACTTTGCTGCTAGGCCGCTAGACTGAGTGAGTGCAGCTAACACAAATGAAAATATAACATTTAGTTTGGAACAGAAACAGCTCTGCAACGACCTCTCAACCCAAAGTAACTTCTTAATTACCTCACCTCTCCAAAGAAATCCATTTGGGATTAAAATACACCACAGTGGCTCACTTGCAATAATAACCTGTCTCAGCATTCCTTCTGTGATCAATTGTTATTTCTTTGGAGACCAAAGAACCCAGGGCTCATTTGGTTAGCACACAGCTACTCAATAATGGTTTTAGCTCTCTCATTCAGCACGGCCTCTGGGTTTGTTTTATGCAAAGTACAAAAACCTTGCCCTAAACACAGTATCAGTAATCCCCACAGAGCTGTCACTGAGTGCTCTGCACAAACATCCTGCATCATCATCATCACCTTTACAATTCCAGAGAGTTGGGGATTAATATGTAGACTCACTTTACAGCTGGGTAATTTCAGACAAGGACATGAAAATCAAAGTTGTTTGTTCAAAGTCCCCACCAGTTATGTCCAATTAGGAGTCTCAGATTTATTTTTCAGAAAGTGTAAGATATCTCCAGGACCTGCAGAGCTTACAGCATGGCATCAGTTTGCTTTTGTTGCAATTGTCACCATCAGCACTACTGAAAGTCTGGGTGTTTTGGTAATCTCAGGTTAAACACTTTGAAATCAGCTGTGCAGGATGGAATTAGCCCAAGGATGAAAATCCTGGATATATTCACTTGTTCTCCATCACAGAGGAATTCTGTTGCAAGCATAGAGGAATTCTGTGATACTTAAATTTTAACCAGCTGTCTTAATAGTATAAAAGGAGTCTTGTCTTAATAGAATAAAAGGAGTCTATCTTCTAGTTAGGTAGTGATGTTGACAGAGAAAAGTAGTTTACTTTGATTTTACGGCATATAAATTTGATTTGATATGAAAGTCAAGCAAATTATCTTGTATAAAAATTTCTCTATCATTTCAGATGATAAAACTAGGCTACTCAATTAGGAATTTTCCCAAACTACTTAAAGCAATTTTTTTTTTTTTTGTATAGAGATACTAAGCCAAATAAGGCATATTGTAACTTTTCTCCATCTGTTTTCCAGACACCTTCAATTGGTTTAATCTGTCCACAAAGGAAGCACAATCTGAGATCCCAAACTATTCCCTGCTACAAATGTGTTAACCCTTGAAGGGAGCTCCTCCAATAAAGCAGCTGCAGTTCCAAAAAGCGTGCCAGTTCTGCAGATCATATCACATCTTCATTTCTGCTCAAAGTAAGGTCATTATGTGGGTTATATACATCCATCTGATATGCATAAAGGAGAATAATTTATGAAGCATCACTAATTTTTCCTCTGCCTATTTTTTCCTCAGCCTATATGTTAGGCTGAGAGCTGTTTCTGATTCTCACTAAGGCTGCAGTACATACAGGGTAGGAAAGATGGCACAAGATTTCCTTAAATTTTGGACTCCCATGGGCAGAAATGACCTAAGACAAATTGATCAGTCTCAAGACAGAATGTGCACAGCCCACAGGTATCCTATTCTTCCTTTTTTTTCCCCCCTTCAGTAGGCTGCCTATATCAGCATCAGCTTTGAAGAAACATTTACATCACATCAACAAAGACACATAACAACAGGAACAGGTCAGAATGTCCAGAGTAAAGACCATCTAAAATGAGCCATGTTCAAAAGAGAGCAGGGAATCCCTCTTACCTTCAGCAACTTCCAAAGGTCCTTGAGATTTGCGAAGCTCTTTCACTGTTTCCAAGAACTCTTTGCCTCCAGCCTTTTCCAGTGCCTTGCCTGCAAGGACACAGAGCAGAAGGCCTTGGCTTCAGAGTATCAGTGTGGAAAAACAAGCCTACATTATTTAAAAAACCACTGTACACACACCATCCTGTCTCCCTCTATCAGCAGCAGCTGATTTTTATGTTTACCACTCTGCTTAGACACGGATGAAGTTTACTTTTCATGGTTTTGTAGAGCCTGTATGCTGTTACTGGAAATTACTTTAATATAAATATCTGTAAGAATGCCATTTACTCTGACTCATGGCTAAAATAATGTGGAGTGGTTTAGGCTTTCAGCCTCCAAAATGAACCCAACATCCAAACCCTATTACTTACTGAAACAAACACAGCTGGGATGCCAGGGAAGGTCTTGATGACTGAAAACCAATGATCCAAAAGCTTGCTACTAGATTCTGTGCCTCCTGTGGGACTGGCTGAATAGCTTTTTACCTCCCTCCTGCTTAAATTTCCATATTTAGTAATAACAGTATTTCCTTATTTTGCACAAGCAGTATAAGGCTTTGTACATGAGTATTTCTAAATTATGTAACATCCTACAATGAAAGTTATAGTTAGAAGTGTTAATGACATATAATTTTGCAATGCAAATTTCAAATGCAAATGTAAAAATAAGCCAATAAACACCTCAATAATAATTATTTACACTTTTGCTGTTCATGTGCTTCAACAAATTAGCTGTGTTTTGCTTGTTATTAAAAGCTGACAAATCAGTGATTAGACTGTTGTACCAAGTCAGACCCAGCCTGATTTTCAGAAGCTGCAAGTGCTATTTTATGGCCTGGGGTAGATTCAGATGAAACAGGATGGGATCTCAGCAGGCAGCCAGTAGACCAGCTACTGTTCCAGCTCTAGATGATTTTTTTCTGCATGTACAGAGCCTCACCTATTTCCTCCTTGAGGTCTATTTCAGCTGTTGTAGGGTGAACAATTCCTTCTACTTTCATGGAGCCAATATGGCTGATGTCACTCTGTGTCAGAGAAAGCTGAAAAATAGCAATGAGAGGGCAGGAACAAATAAATAGTAATCCCAGTGCAAAATCATTTTCATACCAAAAAGCTGAAGTATAAAAATTTCAGTCTTTCAGAAACCAGCTATTTTATTCTGTTCAGTATGTGTGAGTCTGACTTTTAGCTTTTAATTAATTTGCACACCACTCAAATTATTTGGTGATATGCCCACAACTTGGAAGCTTGCTCCAGAGGAAGTTACTGCTAGAAAAAAAAATGTTCTCACATCATAATTTGAAGGAAAAAAGGCTGATTTTGGAAATGCTTTGGTTTAAGAGAAAAACATCCTTCCCTTCATGCTAAGCCCCAATCTGTTTTTGTTCTTTATTACCTTTTGTCCTGGCACAAGGCTCTTGGAGGACAAGATAGTGAAACCATCCCCAGGTCCATCTTCAGTTGTTGAATTTGAAGCTCCTTCTTTTTCATTGTCCTTTTGTTTGCTCTATTTGATGGGAGGAGAAAAAAAAAAAAGCAAGACTTCTCAAAGGAAACAATCACCATCTAGCATAATTCAATAATGGAGAGAGTTAATAACTTACTACAAATCTTATCTTCTCAGATCAATACATGACTCATAGCCTTGTAATCCCCTAAGGTTATGTAACAACAGGGGTCTGCACTGTTTATATAATGCTAAATCAGTGGTTCATCTGAGGCATTACATGTTTTTGTAGTCACATTCAGAGGCAGGGCACCCACACCCATCTGTAGATTTACTGACAATTAAGGTTGTATTTATATGGGTGGGCATGTGTTAGTTTATTTTTGTTGCTAACAGAGCAGAACCTCGTATTAAATCAAACTTAGTCACTTAGTAACCCAGTCAACTGCTCCAATTTGAAGAAAAAACAACTTTCTGGTCTGAAAAACAAATGTTTAAGTCTCAGTTATTAAGTGGTAAAGCCTTCTTATAGCTTACTTTCAGGAGCAGCAAACCTACCAGTCCTAGAGGGCTAAAGGAGCATCTCCTCACACCTCTCAATATTTGCTTTAAGGTTTGTCAAGGAGCTACCACCTCCTAACAATCCAAACTCTGCACAATTCAAAGTAAGGTGGTAGCTGAGGTCAATGCACAGAGGCATCCAATTAAACATCCCATTAAGCAACTCTGTTTTCTTTTTAAAGGCTGTTTCTACATATTATCAGCTCTGGAACTGTCTTAAAACTTTGAAAAATATGCTTAATCCAAAAAAGTTTAAAAGTTTAAGTCAAAGCTTGATATCATTTAACCCTAGCCAATGAAAAGCTCAGCAGTGTTTTAAGGTGCATGCCCTGGAATGACAAACCAAGAGCACAGATCTGGGTTACTGCTTTACCAAATTAATCCATTTTGGACAGTGATAGAAGATGGGAAAGTGCAGGGGTCAAGTTCTGATTGATTTATTCTTCTTTTAAAACTCACAAACAACAGCACAGCTAAGAACACATGAAACAAAGAGCTTGTCACAATGACATTGAAGTTCCATGTCAAATTCTCTGGACAGTGAAAAATCTTTAACAGCAACCCAGTAACTGTGCAAGGCTGAAGGCATGACATCTCTCTGGTAGAAAATGTTTTAGAGCACAGCTTCCTTTATTTTAAAAGGGTTCATTGCCACAGAGTTAGTGTGGAGGTAAGAGATTTTACACAATTATTAAGAGATTATTGCAGAGGGTGACACAGAATCTGTACCTGCCCTGTTCTTACCTTTTTGGACGTCCGGGCCTTGGTAGACTTTGCCTTTTTCCCACTCTTTTTGTTCACCATGGATTTCCTCCCCTTCTTCTCAGGAGCAGGGGAAAGGATGGTCTCAGTTTTGCCTTTGGCACCCCTTTTCTTGGCTAGAAGCTCAGGCTGAATTCTGGGCAGGACACCTCCACTTGCAATAGTCACACCTTTGAGTAACTGCAAGGACAAGCAGTGCATGGAAGCAAATTACAGATCCTCTTAGTCTGCACCACCAAAAACAATTAAGGGAGAAAATCCACAATAACAAGGAACTTGGCAGGTGACAGCAAAGTCAAACAGCACATCCTGGGAAATTCTGTTGCTGTACAATCATTCCTACCCCTTCTTAGTGCAAACCTGTCCTTGGTGACTCACAAGCAGTGAAGAAGGGTAAAAGAAGAAGAGTGTCCGTGGGCTACTTCAAAAAAGGACTGCACCACAGCCCTGCTCAGAGGAGGACTGGATGCAGATCTCTTTGGCAGGGAAACAGATGCAGTGAAAGCAAGGAAAAGCTCCAAGGACCTGCTTTGCAGAGGCAAACAACAGGAATGGGCTGGGATACCATGCAGAGGACAAAGTCTGGCTAATTCCTGAGAGACAACACTGGATCTAGATACCAGTTCACAGGTCACTGACCAGAAACACAGAGCTGGGAAAGGCCTGGTAGTGTTAGCACACTTTCTCTTCTGGCCTGTTTTGAGTTTTTACTCCACTTGACAAGAAACAGAGCCACATGACTTCATGGGCACCACATTTTCATTATTTAAAGCAGTCATATTAAGTGCAGGAGTATTCAAAGTGTGAATGACATCATCCATCTTCATACAGAGGAGATACTCTGATGCTGACTGAACCTTTTCAGCAGCCCTGAACAGTACAATCTGCAGCCCATGCTGTGATCTCTGTCCTCACTCAACAAGTTTAACAGAAGTGATCCCACAAGTGATCCCAGGAGTGAGAATACTGAAAACCACAGTTTGGGCAAACAGACAGGGAGGCAGCAATAGCAGAGAGTGAGCCAGATCCCTACCCAACACGGGCCTCACAGCCAATATAATAGAAAACACACATTTCTACAGCTTTTGGGAAAAGATCTTGCACATTTTCTTTAAGTACTGACTATCCCTGAGGGAAAAGTGAAGCATCAAGACTGCTTGTTTCAACAGGACTCATAGGCTAAGAAGAACCAAAGTTTATGCCCATAAGATTTAAGATGAGGTACGTAATAACCTTAATTTTTGTTTGCTTTTTGTTTGCTAAAAAGAACCAAAGTTTATGCCCATAAGATTTAAGATGAGGTATCTCAGAACCTTAATTTTTGTTTGCTTTTATTTAAGAGGGCCCAATCTTCTGCTCCAATAACTGCAATCTCATTCTTGTCTCAGACTAAGCTCTTTCTAAGCTTCCCTGGTAGCAGCTTCACTCAAGCACACAACTCTTGCACCAAAATGCAAACAGGCACCTGATTCAGCTCCTCATCATTTGCAACTGCCAGGAGGATGTGTCTGGGGGCAATCCTTCCTTTCTTGTTGTCCCGTGCTGCATTTCCTGCCAACTCCAGGATTTCAGCTGTAACACATCAAGATAAAAACCAGTAACAAAAATGCAGCTTAGGTACATGCTGCATACACATTTTACACTGCTTTTTAATATCCATTTACCTTCTCAGGGATGTTTCCAGATTCATCTAATAAAGGGTTCTCACTAGAGAAAGGCAGAAACCAAACCCCACTCAATATATCTGTACATTTAGATAAATTCATTTGCCCTTCCTAATTCCCTAAATGAGAAAATATGCTAAGCTTGGTTCAGATAATTTCTCTTAATTCTCTTTCAAAATGGCAAAAAGAAAAACCCTAAAAGAGTACATCAGCAGTCCAAAATTTCTCAGCAGCCCTGTGACAACAGAACAGCCAGGCATGCAGTAAAACCCCCAACCTGGAACAGACAGCTCTGACAAACAGCGAGGATTCTCAGCACCAGGGAAGATGAAGACTGAGGTGCATTTGAAGAAGTACTTGGAAAGCCAACACACTAGCCAGACACTGCTGGAATTCTGCATTAAAGGACACTGAAAATCTGTGAGAAGCTTCATTTCAGAACAAGATATGAAAGGTTTGATCCAGATGCAAGCAGACACAACGTGAGAGCTTCAATGCATGAAATATTGATAGAAGGGTCCTTCTACATCTCTGGGAACAGGAGGTCACTTCAAAGGTACTTTCTCTACCTACCAGTTAGAGAAATAGTAACATTTATACTGGAACCAAAGTCACTGAGCTTTTCCTAATTATTACAGAAATACAGACACATCTCCCTAAGTTTATTTGGACTGTAGCAATCAGTGTAATTCATTAGCTTACATAGTTTGGCCTCTACTCAGAAGTTATTTCTCATATAAGAACCTTACTGAAACACTGAGAAGGAAGGAGAAAGGAATTTTTTCCCCTCCAATTGCTCCTAAAAATCATATCCACACTTTTTTTCATTTTAAAAGTATACAGTGTCCCTGTCTTCTGGGTTTGTGTTTGTCAGTAACAGGAATATGAAAATTACAGCCAATCAGTATCCTGTTTATAACTTATTGATGTCTTAATGATATCCTACTCCTTTTTACAAACTACATAAAGAACTATAACTATTATAAAAAGAAGGATTTTCAGGAAAAATCTAGTGGAAATGTACATAATGTTTGGCTAAAATCCAAATGATTTCAACATGGGGCTTAGCTCTGGCTCATAGGGAAAATACAAGCTTTCAATTCCACTCAAAATAACAAAAGTACAAATTTGTCTTCCAGTTTTCACTGCTACACAGCACACATATTTAACTGAATGTTGGAAATGTAAAAGCCTTTTTTTAAAATTTATATGCATATTCACAGTGAATTGTAAAAATTAGAGCAGGAACCTCTCAGCTCTAACATTTCCTAGTCTGTCCTGGATTTTAAAGGAGGAAACTGCAAAGAGATCCCACATAGTCCAGCTATATTCACCCCCATGGGGCTGGAAGTGTCAGACCCTCTCCCAGCCCTCTGCCAGCAGAGCTAACACAGCAGCAGACAGCAGGAACAGATTCCATCCATTGTGCAGACCAGCAGAGAGCAAGAAAAGAGACCCAGGCTCCTCCAGTGGGATTTGCAGATGTGTGCTGACAGCAGAGGAAAATTGCATCAGGGGGAAAAAAAAAATCCAAAAACCAGCAGATACTTACCTGTGTGGGAAATGAAGCTCTTTCAGGTGTGCCAACAACAGGCACATCCTGCTACCTGTGTGCTCACCCCAGTGCCCCAGGTTTGGGTCCTTTGGCCAGCAGCATCCTGATGGTGCACTCTTAGTCCTCTGCCTAATGTTAAGAGCAAAAAAGGCAGAACACTCAAATGCCAGCCATCCATGCCAGGACACTGGGAAGAAGGGAATCCGAGGCAGAGGTGATGTATGGCAGATTGTGGAATATGTACATGACTTACCTAAGGATGCCAAACATTTGCATGGTAAATTATTGCCTTACTTCCTTCTAGGGAAGGTTTCTATACATATTTTTTTTCTAATGGTGGAGGCCAGGGCTCATAATCTAATAAAATGGTATTTACAAAAAACAATATCAAAACTGGAGCCTTCAGTTATCACATGCCCTGCTAACAATAACAGATCCCTAAAGACACTGCTTCACATTTCAAGTAGAAACTTCTTAGCAGCTGAGGTTACCTAAATTCTAAAAAGACAAGTCTGAGAATATAGGTCCTACAATACCTATATAAATAGGTATTATAGAATATAATAGGAATATAGAATATAGGTCCTATACTCTAACAAGCTCTCTTGGAACTGGGCATCTTGATATTTTCAGCCATAAATTGATTTTACTTTGTGTTCTAAGCACAGGCATTAAGAATCACATTGAAATCTCAAATAATATTGCTTCCTGCAAGAGTCAAAATCCACAAAGATGCCTCCACATCAGAAGTTTAACTTCAAATCCAGACATCTTCAGAAGCACATGACTCTCTTCCAGCAGAGACAAGCTGCAGCCAAGCTATGACCTGAATGGGATTACATCTTGTCACCCTGTGACATACAGGGAAAAAGAGGTTTCTTTAGCTGATGGATCAGCAGATTTGAAATGTCCGGGAGCTAAAGCATGCTAGCCATGCCAAAGGTTTTTGTTCAGTTGAGCTTGCAGGAAGGTGGACTTCTAAGAAAGGTCTATGAGAATTCCTGATAGCAAATTGGAAAGATTTCATACAGGTTGTCTTGTTTTCCACTTCCCCTACAGGAGAAATCCTGTCAGCTCCTGTTACACTAACACATAAAAATCTACCAGTAATACCTTTACTCTGCAAAAATCTATTGATGATGGAGTCCTTGTCCTCCATTTACTGGTGGAAAGATGTCTGCTGGATTTGTCTCTGCATGGCAGATGAGCACAACAGACAGAAGAGTGTTCCAGGGGATTCCTGTGAAGGAGGAAGCCTTTGCTGGTGGTGTGTTCTGCCCTCATTTAGAGAGGATGGCTTTCCATTGAGATCTTCCACAAGTTCCTCTGAACATGACTTGTGCTTCCTCATCAAGGGGCTTCTGTATTCTCTGCCTGCTTTTTGGGAAGATGCCCTGTGGGACATATGCAGTTGATGTTTGATTTAGGTGGTTGTGCCTGCAGTCAGCTCTGTGCACACTCAGAGCATGAGTCTGTTGCAAAACCCATCAATCACATGGGACTCAGGCCAATTTTTCAGAGAATTTTAACTCTGAAGCCAGTGGAATTCTCAGCAAACACAACCTTCTGGATGGGAATTAAGCTGCAGTTTTACAATATGATTTTCAAGCCTAAAATGTAAAACAGCATCAAGATATTAAAAAGAAAGGTTTAAAACAGTGAAGAGATCTTTACATTGTACCTCTTCCTGAGATTCCACCACCATTGCTGGCATTTTAATGATGGGATTGATAAGGCAAAGTGCAGATTTGGGGGTGATAATGGCTGTCAGGTGCTGCCATGACCAACCTTGCTTACAAAGGAAAAAAACAGGGGTTTGGTATCTCTGTGACACAGAACACATACCAAAGCCAAAGAGCAGTCTCAGCTCCCTAAACTGGGAGTAAGGAGGCTGCAGATGTTTATGCAGCCTCTGGATGATGCCAGCCACGAGGCTCAGAGCTCTGGGGCAGCACAAACCCAGGCCAGCAGCAGTGGCCAGCAGGACTGGTCACTGACAGAGATCTGCTGGTCCCTGCCAGCCCTGGAGGAATGCAGGCACCCAGGTGGTTCTGGTTCTGTTGGACCCTTCCAGCCTCACCTACCTTGCTCCTCTCCCAGCCATGACTTGCTTCCCCACCTCCCAAGCTCCTTTCCCTGGCAATCCACACCAAGATTTCTATCTCAGCACCTTTCCTGGACAGTCACCATTTTTCCTGTCTACTCTAGCTCAATATTCCTGCCCAGATTCTTCATTGACTCCATCCAATCCTTGGCCTATTTCCCATTTTTTCAACTTGCTCTCCAGCTTCCTGGCAGGATATTTAGACACTCCTCACCATTTATTTGCCTACTGGTCATCAGTCCAGCTGCCCCCAGTAGCCAGACTTATCCCTAACATCAGTATTTTTTCTTCCATAACCACTGCCTCCCCACAATGTTATGATTTGGGAACTGAGAGAGGCTGGAATGTGTTCAGTGAGGACCAAGTCTTCAGAGATTTTAGCTGTTAAAAGTCAAAGAAGTCTCAGCTGAGCATGAGCAACCTGTGTTTTATCAAAGTTAGAGCCTGGCCAAAGAGTGCAGATTTCTCTGAGGTAGCACACACCTCCCTTCCCCTTTTGTAAAGCATTAAATCTCTGCTCAAACACAAAGAAGCACTCAGGGGTTTAGAGGAGAAGTTTTCATGAATGTTTTAACATAACAAAAAAAAAAAAAGTTCAACCTGCTTCTGTGAAACAGCTAAAAAGTGACAGTCCCTTACTGCCACTCTCCCAGATTTAGCCTGAAGCAGTTCCCCTCATGCAGCCTTTCATCCTGAGGAACCATCATTTCACACCTGCAAATCCAGGAGAAAAGAATGCCATTTGTAATAGAAAAATCAGATAATGTTAAGAAAATGTAGCTGTTTGACATATAATACCCCCCTTTGACAACATCCTTGGAAAAACCTGTTTTGTTTCTACAGGCTTCCCAAAACCAAAGATTTTATACCCCTGTAATATTAGGAATAACTAGATCAGCAGGATTAGATGCTGCAACAGTTTTGTTGTTTTTTTTTTTTTAACTGAACTCTCCATCTTTGTAATATTTCCAAACAAATCCCTGGACAGAGCACAGGAATTTTGGTTTGGAAAGAACACAATCCAGCAGCAATAGATGTTTGCTCAGAAACATTACCCCATTCTATCACAATATATACAGGAGTTCTCTGCTGAACCAAGCAGCTGAAAATAGCATTCCCTTACAATTTATGTGGGCTCCCAGCCTACACCTCTAGCAACCTTCTTGCCTGGTTGACTACACATTCTTTTTTTTTTTTCCTAAAGCAAATTGTAGGCCCACACATAATCTGCTCATATCAGATTAATGATTGAAATTAAACTGCACTTACAACCCAGGAGCAGAGCCAAGAATTTCATTGTTCTAGTTCAGGTAATAGGCAAGCAGTGCTGACCACAAGTCAGTCTGCAGCACTGAAATGTTGCACATTCCAGATGTGCTGCTGACAATTTATTACTGCACCTTGTAAAAATTGCCACAGCTCAGAGCAAGCATCTCCAAATGTTTATCCTAGAAATATCTCCCTGTGGAGTAGGAGAAGAAAAAGAAGTGTTTCTCTGCAGACAGAAGGTCAGCAGAGTCACAGTGCATCACATTATGTTATAAAAGTTATTGTGATTTCTTCAACACAAGCAATACTTTGTCACTCCAGCTCCAGAAGTAGCCTCAGGGGAAAAACAAATAAAATTGATTCTCATCTGGAATGTACTGCCACAAACATGGAGATTTTTGCAATCTACTATTAAGCTTGATGATAAATTTAATTTTACAAGTGAAATTAGTGAAATTTATTAGTGAGATCTCAGATTTTCTCCACACTTTTGAAAGAAAATAATGGTTTTATTGTCTGGTAGTGAGAACAAGCTTCACATGTGCAAAAGACAGCAGTGTTTACATAAAATCTGTTGCATGGACAACCAGGCTCCATGCAAGCTTCTTCATGCCACCTGGGCAATAAACTACACTGCTGAAACACAACTCACTGAGCTGATTCCATGCAGGCTGGGACTCCTCACAGATTCTCTAATGCACCTCAGTCTTGATCTGTAACCCCTGAGTAACCTGGACTGTAAATTCTAACCATTTGCTGAAGTGCTATTTTCCATAATTAAACAAGAAACTCAACAGATATGATCAAAGGACACTCTGAAATATTTCTGTACAGAATCACAGTATATTGTATCACCATGGGACACCTGCCCTTTTCTCAAAGTTCAATTTCAGAAAGGCAGGAAAAAGAAAAATCAGGGTGTGTGGGAAGATTTAAACCTTGGAACACTTTCTGTATACACTTAGACAAAGCAAAAAGGTTTTTAAAATTAAATTTAAATTTTAATTTAAATTAAACCCCTCCCCACATTTATATTTCATAACACTTTGACACTCTCCTGCAAAGAGAAATGCAGCCAGCAAAAGAGTTTTCTCACTTAAAAAGCACAGAAGCAGTACAAGGTGAATTTGCTATTTTTTTTCTATTATTCACATTTAGGTGTATAATAAAACCCTAATTAATACCAATTTTCTCTGGGACAAAAACTACACAGAAGTGTCTCCTCACTCTGCAAAAGAATACAAAATAACACTCCAGCTACTGACCAAGCATGGTGCCTCTAAAAGAGAAATTTCCACCCTCAGCCTCTCTCTCAGAGAACAAATGAACCTCCTTAGAGCTTTCAGCAGATCCTGATTCCCAGGAGTGCTCCACATGCTCACACCCCATCCCATGGATGGCTCCTGTGTGTGAGGAGCACTGCCAGGAGCAGGTTCTTGCTTTACCTGCCAGGTACTCTATGACAGCTGCAAAAGCTACACAGGACTGACTCCTCACTCTGCAAAACAATACAAAATAACTTTCCAGCTAGTGACCAAGCATGGTGCCTCTAAAGGAGAGAATTTCCACCCTGAGCCTCTCCAGGAAACAAATCTCCTTAGTGCTTTCAGCAGGTTTCAACAAATCCTGATTCCCAGGAGTGCTCCACATGCTCACACCCCATGCCATGGCTAAGCCTGGCTCCTGTGTGTGAGGAGCACTGCCAGGAGCAGGTCTGGCTTTACCTGCCAGGTGCTCTATGACAGCTACAAAAACTACACAGAACTGACTCCTCACTCTGCAAAACAAAAATAACACTCCAGTGAGTGACCAAGCATGGTGCCTCTAAAGGAGAGAATTTCCACCCTCAGGAAACAAATGAACCTCCTTAGTGTTTTCAGCAGATCCTGATTCCCAGGAGTGCTCCACATGCTCACACCCCATCCCATGGGTGGCTCCTGTGTGTGAGGAGCACTGGCAGGAGCAGGCCTTGCTTTACCTGCCAGGTACTCTATGACAGCTACAAAAACTACACACAAGTGACTCCTCACTCTGCAAAACAATACAAAATAACACTCCAGCTGTTGACCAAGCATGGTGCCTCTAAAGGAGAGAATTTCCACCCTCAGGAAACAAGTGAACCTCCTTAGGGTTTTCAGCAGATCCTGATTCCCAGGAGTGCTCCACATGATCACACCCCATCCCATGGCCAACTCTGGCGCCTGTGTGTGAGGAGCACTGGCAGGAGCAGGTCTGGCTTTACCTGCCAGGTACTCTATGACAGCTACAAAAACTACACACAAGTGACAAAAATAACAAAAACAAAACAAAAATAGCACTCCAGCTATTGACCAAGCATGGTGCCTCTAAAGGAGAGAATGTCCACCCTCAGGCTCTCCAGCATACAAATGAACCTCCTTAGTGTTTTCAGCAGGTCTCAAGAAATCCTAATTTCCCAGAGTGCTCCACATGCTCACACCCCATCCCATGGGTGGCTCCTGTGTGTGAGGAGCACTGCCAGGAGCAGGTCTGGCTTTACCTGCCAGGTGCTCTATGACAGCTACAAAAACTACACAGAACTGACTCCTCACTCTGCAAAACAATACAAAATAACTTTCCAGCTATTGACCAAGCATGGTGCCTCTAAAGGAGAGACTTTCCACCCTCAGCCTCTCCAGGAAACAAATGAACCTCCTTAGTGCTTTCAGCAGATCCTGATTCCCAGGAGTGCTCCACATGCTCACACCCCATCCCGTGGGTGGCTCCTGTGTGTGAGGAGCACTGGCAGGAGCAGGCTCTGGCTTTACCTGCCAGGTGCTCTATGACAGCTACAAAAACTACACAGAACTGACTCCTCACTCTACAAAACAAAAATAACACTCCAGTGAGTGACCAAGCATGGTCACTAAAGGAGAGAATTTCCACCCTCAGGAAACAAGTGAACCTCCTTAGTGTTTTCAGCAGATCCTGATTCCCAGGAGTGCTCCACATGCTCACACCCCATGCCATGGCTGAGCCTGGCTCCTGTGTGTGAGGAGCAGGCCTTGCTTTACCTGCCAGGTACTCTATGACAGCAGCCATGTAGACGGGTGCCCCCACCCCGATGCGGTACTTGTAGGTGCCTTTCTTCAGGTAGCGCATCATCCTGCCCACGGGGAAGATCACCCCGGCCCTGCTCGAGCGCGACAGTTTGGACATTTTCTTCTTCCCGCTCCGCCCCGACATCTTGCAGCCTCGTGCTTCTCAATTTGCTGGTGGTTCTCAGTGCCTTGCTGCAAATCTGAGGGCTGCAAGAGAAAACCAAGAGGGTCGGTGAGAAAGAACAGGTTGGTGTGGCCAGCAGGGGCAGGGAGATCGTTCCTCCCCTGTACTCAGCACTGGTGAGGCCACATCTCCAGTGCCGTGTCCAGTTCTGGCCCCTCAGTTTGGGAAGGACATTGGGATGCTCAAACACAAGGCTGGTGAGGGGCTGGGAGCACAAGCCCTGTGAGGAACATTTGAAGGAGCTGGGGCTGTTTAGCCTGGAGAAGAGGAGGCTCAGAGGTGACCTTATTGCTCCCTACACCTTCCTGAAGGGAGGTTGCAGACAGGTGGGGTCCATCTCTGACAGAAGCAGAGGACACAGTCTCCTGCTACCTCAGGGAAGGTACAGGTTGGATATTAGGAAGAAATTTTTCACCAAAAGAATAATAAAGTACTAGAATGCTCTTCCCAGGGAGGTGGTAGAATCACCATCTCTGGGTGTGTTTACAAAAGCCTGGACATGGCACTTGGTGCTATAGTCTAGGTGAGGTGTTAGGGCATAGGTTGGACTCAATGATCTTAGAGGCCTCTTAGAGATCTCTTCCAACCTCATTATTCTGTGATCTTCATGCATTGCTGCTGTTCCAGAAGAAAAAATCCAAACTTGCCCTCAACACCTGTTAAAGTGCAGGCATTGTTCATTAAAAGCAGGATTGGCACCATGATATTTTCTGAAAAATCCTCTTTGCCCAGGATTTTGTCCTGGGAAGCTGAGAAGCCTCAGAGAGGAATGAAAACAATAATTATCTGATTGCTGCTCCTGTGTTTGCTGCTTTGGAATGGGGCTTGGACATTATTTACCAACAGGTGAATGTTTGATTGGGTCCATGTGAATTGTTTTTACTTAATGACAAATCACAGTCACCTGTGTCAGACTCTGAGTCAGTCACAAGCTTTCACTATCATTCTTGTGAAGCCTTCCATCTGTATCCTTTCTCTTTAGTTTAGTTTTAGTATAGCATTCTTTAATATAATATAATATCATAAAATAATAAATCAGCCTTCTGAGAACATGGAGTCAGATTCTCATCTCTCACCTCATCCTGGGGACCCTCAAACACCACACAGGATAATTGGAATATTTGCTATGACTTTGCTTTTGAACTGCACTGTCAGTGTAGCAATACCAGGAGCAAAGAAAACAAACCTTGTTTTCTCCTTATTTTTCTGGCAACCACAAGATTAGGGATAAACAGACAACAAACCCTGGAATCTGCCACTTCACTCCAAAGCTTGCATGTGGTCACAATTACACCTCCAGTTCTCACTCTCAGACAAATAATGTTTGGGAAAGGTTTAACTCTATTTACAAAACATGGGTTTAACTGCATTTTGATAGCTGCCCTGGAGGTATAATTATGAGCCTGGTTACTTCTCAGAAGCAAACACAGAGCAGGTCTGCCAAAGATGGTATTTCTGCCAAGGAAAGCACAGTTACCTCACTGCCAGCATCCATTCACCTCCAGTGAAAGAAAGAAACACAACAAGGGAGACTTTGAAAAGCATTCAAATGAATCTAGGTGATACTGCTAAATTTTAAATTAATTTTTTTATTTACCAAAGGTATAAAATCAGCAGAGAGCTGTAAAACCTTGGCATGTCCTTGTGTATCAGCCAGACAATTTTTTTTCTTTCTGTGAGCAATGTATCATGTGGGCATGATGAGAAAAGTTGGGAAAGATTAAACCAGTAAACCTATCAGACACAGACACGTCAAAATTGGCATTGCTCATCATCCCACTCTGAATTCCCTGCCAACTGCCAGCCTGGAACCACAGAGCTCCAAGGGAAGGTGAAAAGAAGTGGGGAGGCATGATCCTGGTCTTTAGAGATGCTATGAAGGTGGAGAGAGCCAGTGTTCCTTAGAGCAGTGACCCTTACAGAAGCTGTACAGCAGAGGACAGAGAGCAGCACTGGGCTTGGTCACACAGGGAGGCAGCAAAATCTGCCCAGCAGAAAAACTTCAGAACAATTTGAGAATGTAGGTCAGAAATCCAGCAGCACTGGATCTGCCTCGGGGCTGGAGGCTGGAGCTGGTGATCTTCCTTCCTTAATGAAACTTGTAATTTGTGACAAACCCTTTATAAACTTTCAATTTCATAATAATAACAACTCTTAAAAGATGTCCTTTTCAGTTTGTGACAACTGACACCCAAATAATAGACCTAGGCTGGGAATTAGGCTTCTAGCCATCAGAGGAGCCAATTTCTGGGACAGCCTTCTCTTTAGAGCAACAATAACTCTTTTTGAGGTGGAACTTAATAAATGTATGCAGTAGGGTACAAACAGCTTCCTGCAATGCTGGCAGGACAGCTGCACCACCCAAGAGTTCAGGCCAGCACTGAAACCCCTGCAGAGAGCCATGCTGAAAGAGTACACTACCTGTATCAAAATTATATTTAGCTAACCTCTCATATATTCCTTCCTATAGCATCAAATCCCAGCTGAGTGAAAATCAGTGGAAAAAGGCAAACATCAAGGGATTAGATCCACAGAAAATACCATTGTTACACTTGATCTCCATGGCAGAAAATCAAAACATATTTGTATACAATTAACTACACTGCTCTGGGCCATGCTGCTGCATTACATAAATTTATGTTTAATTACTCACTTTTGGCTCATCCTTCTGTTGCTATCACTGAACTTTCCACCCCTGCCTACTCCTTTATTTTCCCCTTCTCTCTCACAGGAAGCCCTCTGCCTTTATTTACTCCCCTGCTGCCAAGCCAACTCTTGGAATCCCAAAATATTTTCCAAATGCACTGCAGGTTATGTTTGCAGAATTTTGTGAGAGCCTAAATACAAGATGTTTCAAAACTCTGCTAACACTGTCTCTGCTTTGCAACTTACATGGAGCAGGGTGCACTGAGGAGCAATAAACACAGCAGCGTGCTCTTGTCTTGTTTTGACTCCTACAGGAGGCATTTTTTGGTAGAAAGCCAAGCTCTGGCATAGTCACAACAGGATCTGGACAAAGAAACATGCAGAGAAAACTCCTGTGGACCTGGACAAAGAAATCCCAGAGACAGGGATCTGGTTTTCTTGCAGGAAAAGGCACATGAGCTCAGCCCTGCCACACTCACCTGAACTGCAACCAACAGGTAAAGAGCTACAAGCTGAGCACTGCTGTCCTAATTGTTCCCTGCTGAGGACACAGCCAAGCCTCAAGGGCTTATCAGTTGAAAAGTCTACCCACACTTGTTCCCTCTCTGCCAGCTGATTCATCATCTCTGTGTTTCTCCTCATGAAGCACTGCCTTCATTTAAAAATAAACCTGTGCCACTTGTGCTAAGTCCATCCTCACTGAGCTACAAGGGCTGTGTCTATATCTGCCTGCCATGACATCAGGCTTGGGCAATTGGAAGCAATTATTTTCCCTGTCCCTTAATTGGTCACAGCACACCCCACTCTGTCATGACTCCAACATCCCTGTGCTGCTAATGGGGGGTTGAGGAGCTACAACATCTCACAGAGCTCTCCACAACATGACTGCAAGCAGGGCTTTCCTCTGTTGAGTTTTGTCTTCTTCAGAGCCCAAGGAAACCAGTGACATTTTCCTTCTGCCTCCTGGAAAAATACTTAAGAGTCCACCTTCCACTGGACCATACTGCTCCAAGCCCCATCCAGCCTGGACTGGGACACTTCCAGGGATCCAGGGGCAGCCACAGCTTCTCTGTGCCAGGACCTCACCACTTTCACAGGGAAAAACTAAGGGAATCCTTCATAACATCTGACACAAATCTCTCCTTTTTTAGATGTAAACCATTCCCCCACGTCCTGTCACTATGTGCCCGTGTAAAAAGTCCCTCTCCCTCTTTCTCATACACCCCATCCAGGTACTGCAGGGCTGCAGCAAGGTCTGCCCAGAGCTTTTCCAGGGCCAGGCTGAATATGCCCAGCTCTCCCAACCTGTCCCTGGAGCAGAAAGGCTCCAGCCCTCGGAGCACCTTGACTTGGGAAGGATGCTGAGATGTTTGAGCACATCCAGAGGAGGGCAACAAGGCTGGTGAGGGGCTTGGAACACAAACCCTGTAAGGAACCACTGAGGGAAGCAGGGGCTGTTTAGCCTGGAGGAGGCTCAGAGGTGCCCTTATTGCTCTCTACACCTTCCTGAAGGGAGGCTGCAGACAGGTAGGGTCGGTCTCTCCTACCAGGCAGCGCTGACAGAACCAGAGGACACAGTCTCCAGCTACCTCAGGAAGGTACAGGTTGGATATTAGGAAGAAATTTTTCACCAAAAGAATAATAAAGTATTGGAATGTTCTTCCCAGGGAGGTGGTAGAATCACCATCTCTGGGTGTATTTAAAAAAAGCCTGGACATGGCACTTGGTGCTAGAGTCTAGGTGAGGTGTTAGGGCATGGGTTGGACTTGATGATCTTAGAGGGCTCTTCCAACCTCGTTATTCTGTGATTCTGTCATTCTGTGACTTCCAAACACCAAGAGAACTCAAACTCAGCAGCCAAAGTCTAAAATAAAGGGCATTCAGGACTACCCACACAGCTGCACTCCCCTCATCTCCAGCAGATCTGTTAGAACAGTTAGGAGTTGACAAGGAACCCAGACATACCTTGGATCCAGCTTAGGCTGCACATTCACTTACAAAGGAAATATTTGTGAAAAAGAACGAGGAAGACCTGAAGCAGGGGCTCGTTGTCTGACCGAATTGCTAAGGCCATAGTGCTGTTCAGGGGGCAGGTGCGGTGTCTCCAGAACCGCCCACACCGAGCGCGTTCCCCGCGAAAGAAGCTTCCAGGGCACCCCCAACCCCGGGGGTCCCTGCTGAGGCAGCTCCCACTCACAAACAACATCGGGCCACTCCTGCGGGGGTCGGGAGGACGGACCCTGAGAGGACGGATCTGGTACGGCCCCACAGGGAGCCTTTGGAGCCGCTGCGAGCACCGGGCTCGGGGACGCCGCGCTCGGCCCCGGAGCCGCCCCAAGCCCCCTCAAGGCCCGCCCGCCCCGCGCCGCCGCCCCGCCCCGCGCACGCCTCGCCGTTGCCCGGACACCGCCGCCCCGCCCACTCCCGTCTCTGATTGGTCGCTGCGGCAGCCCGGGCTGGGCAGGGAGCGCGGTGATTGGCTGAGAGCCTCTTGATCGGCGGGAGAGGGGCGGGGGCAGCAGCCGGGCCGCGCAGGCGTCCCGAGGCGCAGTGGAGTGTGTGTGTGGGGGGGTGTGGCCGCCGGCTTTCCCGCGCAAACGCTCCCCCCTGACGCCCCCCCCTCACACCGCCCTCAGCCAGCGCCGCCGCCGCGGGGGCTTCGCCCGCTGCCCGCCGAGGGGCGGCTGTGGCAGCGGCCGCACGGCCCCGGAACGGGAAGCGCTGCGGGGGCCGAGCGGAGGCAGCGAGCGAGGAAGAACCGCCCCCTCCCCCCCCGTAACCGCTTAGCCGGGGCCGGCCCCGCGCGCGCCGCCGTTACCACCTCGCGCCCCCCCTCCCTTTATGGCCGCCCCTCACCCGCCCCCCTCACGCCCTTTCCCCTCACGGCCTCGGCCATGGCCGGGCCCTCCCGGAGAACGGCAGCGGCGCCGGGAAGAGGAGGAGGAAGAGGAGGAGGTGGGTCGTGCGGCCGAGGAGAGAGGGAAGGAGAGGAGCAGGGCCTCGCCGCGGCCCCCGGAACCCCCGCGCCGCCGCTCCCCTCACCTGCCGGCGCCCGCCGCCGCCGCCTCCTCCTTCTTGTCTTCCCTTCCTCTTTTTCCTCCCCCTCTTTTCCTCCTCTCCTTGCCCCCCCTCCCCTTTCCTCCCCCTTTCCCTTCTCGGCTCCCCCCGCCCTCGCTCCGCCTCAGCCGCTCTCCCCGTATTGTATGTTTCAATGGCGATGGCGGCTGCTGCTGAGGGGGGCGGCAGGGGTTTCCTCCCGCTCGGCACATACCGCCTCTAGGAGGAGTCACTGCAGCCCGGGCCCGCTACAACCCCCCTCTCCTGGCTGCCGCCCTCCTCGGCCGGGCCCCAGGGCTGCAGTGGGGGCAGGAGCCCCCTCCCCGCCCAGCAGAGAAAGGGCCCCCCTGACCCCAGTCCCAGTGGGCTTGTGGTAGCCGGGAGCATAAAGGCAGAAAGCCTTGCCATCCTTTCCCAGGGTGGAGGAGTTCGGAGATGGAGAGGTTTCAAGGCAATCCCAGATTGGGTTAAAGCCCAAGGAGCGCCTGGTTTTCGTTAGAGAGAGCCATCCATCCCTCTGTCCCTTTGGCAGGGTGGCCTGTGCCAATGCCTCGCTATGGTGCTCTAACCCAAATATTGCAGCATCCCCAAGTCGGCTCGGAACGGCCCTAACAAAGAGTGCCGGCAGCTCTTTGTGTTGTCTTGCATTGGAGCGTTCTGGGCGCTCTCAGGCTTTCCAACTCGTCTGTGAGGGCTGCAAAGTTCCCTTCTGAATGGAAGCTGAGGGTTTTTCTTTCCTTCCCTGCAGTCGCACGGATTGAAGAGCTGGAGCTCCAAGAGACGCAATAAGCGATTGTGCTTTGAGTCTTGGCAGCGCCAAATCTGTGAGCAGAGGCTGGTGCAAACAGCAGAGTACAGGGCTACACCTCTTTAACTCCTCTCAGGTATATTTTTACATCAGGCTGCGTTTGTATCATCGTTCCTATGCAAATACTTTGTTGCACTGATTTTGCTATAAAGACATTTGGGTGCTACTGTGGTGCACTAGGAGATACATTATTAACACAGGCCACTCCTGCTTGCTTGCGGTGTTACTTTAGGAGGGTGTCTGGGAACAACAGAGAGAAAGAACCATTCATGCATTCAGCATTCTCTTTGCCACTGGAAAAAATCATAAAAGATGCACTTGAGCTTGGTTTTGGCTCTGCCAAAGTAAGCAATTTTATGTCTGCACAGGATTGGATTTGGTGGGTAAAAAAGCAACGGAATATTTCCCCAGGTTATGTTAATTGTGGATCACATCATCTCATGAAGAAAGAGGGCCTGAGCTCAGGACCTGCGTTTTCCTGTGACCTTGGGTAAAGCAGTTGCCTTTACACAGCTGTATTTTGACTGTTGTTAAAATGGAAATAAAGATACCTTTTCTCTTTTCAAGCATTGAGTAAGAGCCTCAATGCATTGGTGTGGATTAATTCTTTGGGGTCTGTTCTCTTCCTCACTGCTTTTTGAAAACAAGGTCAAGATGCCTTGAGACCATAGGAAAAAACCTCATGTATGAATTTGACTTATTTTGCATGTAAGAGGAAGCCTTACCTTGATCTTGCCCACTGAGAGTTGGAATTTATCAAAAGAAGAAGATATGTGTAAGCCTGTCAGTGTATTGAACCATATTGGGAGGGTAGGAGGAAGCTCAAGGAGATTTCCAAGCACTAAGCACAAAAATTAATGACAATGTAAAACCCATGTGAAAAGGAAGAAAAGCATTTACATTTTTCTATTACCAGATACAAATAACTGCATCCAAAAACCCTTACAGTCATGCATGTGTTACGTGGCTTTGTAATTTAAAATAATTTGAGATGAGGCAAAATAAGCATCCCAAGTTTTTGAAAACATTCCCAGTGTGTTAGAGTTTAACATCAAATAGTTGCTGTGTGATAAGAACACGAGCATGTGGGGGAGGTCCTTCAAGGAAAAAAAAAAATCTTTGTGTGAGGCAAACTTTCAACATTAGGAGAACTCCCTCTGTTTATAACAACATTTTTCTGTTTATAAACAAAATTCTCCTGAAGGAAAACAGGAGTGCTGGAGAAGTGTGAGAGAGGACATTGCAAATTTTCACAGTGTAACACTTTTTGAGTCTGTCATAGATGTCTGAATTTTAATAACAATTTTTGTGCTGTTGTGATTTTTAATAGTCACACCATAAATTCATATACTCATATTCCACTCTTTATTTCTCCAGTGGATACAGCCTATCCTTAACCTAAATATTAAACATAAACCTTCATATCCTAAACCTAATACAGCATTGCATGGATATTTTATGTTTCAAATATTTCTGGAAAATTTGGGGTCACATGGTGACACAATAAAGAATTTTTGAGTAGAGCAGATCAGAGCAAGACAACACTGGAGCAGTTACTGGGTGTGAATTATTGTGCAGTAACAGCACCCTTGGAACCAGCTGCTTTTTAGAGCAGGTGAGAGACTTCTGGTCACAGCACCTGTATGTTCCAGGCATTTAGATGGAGCTGTTCAAGGAGGAACTGCTCCTAACCCTCATTTGTGCCATTTAGATGGAGCTGTTCAAGGAGGAACTGCTCCTAACCCTCATTTGTGCCATTTAGATGGAGTTATTTGAGGAAGAACTGTTACTAACAATTATTTGTGTCATTTAGATGGAGCTGTGCAAGGAGAAACTGTTGCTAACCCTCATTTGTGCCATTTAGATGGAGCTGTTCAAGGAACTGTTCCTAACCTTCATTGGTGCCAGTCAGATGGAGTTATTTGAGGAAGAACTGTTGCTAACCTTCATTTGTGCCATTTAGATGGAGCTGTTCAAGGAGGGACTGTTGCTAACCCTCATTTGTGCCATTTAGATGGAGCTGTTCAAGGAACTGTTCCTAACCTTCATTGGTGCCAGTCAGATGGAGTTATTTAAGGAAGAACTGTTGCTAACCTTCATTTGTGCCATTTAGATGGAGCTGTTCAAGGAAGAACTGTTGCTAACCCTCATTTGTGCCATTTAGATGGAGTTATTTGAGGAGGAACTGCTCCTAACCCTCATTTGTGCCAGTCAGATGGAGTTATTTAAGGAAGAACTGTTCCTAACCCTTGTTTGTGCCATTTAGATGGAGCTGTTCAAGGAGGAACTGTTCCTAACCTTCATTTGTGCCATTTAGATGGAGCTGTGCAAGGAAGAACTGTTGCTAACCTTCATTTGTGCCATTTAGATGGAGTTATTTGAGGAGGAACTGATCCTAACCCTCATTTGTGCCAGTCAGATGGAGTTATTTAAGGAAGAACTGTTCCTAACCCTTGTTTGTGCCATTTAGATGGAGCTGTGCAAGGAAGAACTGTTGCTAACCTTCATTTGTGCCATTTAGATGGAGCTGTGCAAGGAGGAACTGTTCCTAACCCTCATTGGTGCCATTTAGATGGAGCTGTTCAAGGAGGAACTGTTCCTAACCCTCATTTGTGCCATTTAGATGGAGCTGTTTGGGGAGGAACTGTTCCTAACCCTCATTTGTGCCATTTAGATGGAGCTGTGCAAGGAGGATCTGTTGCTAACCCTCATTTGTGCCATTCAGATGGAGCTGTTCAAGGAGGAACTGTTCCTAACCCTCATTTGTGCCATTTAAATGGAGTTATTTAAGGAGGAACTGTTCCTAACCCTCATTGGTGCCATTTAGATGGAGCTGTGCAAGGAGGAACTGTTCCTAACCCTTGTTTGTGCCATTTAGATGGAGCTGTGCAAGGAGGAACTGTTCCTAACCCTCATTTATGCCCTGCTGGAGTCAAGCAGAGCTTTCCCCACTCAGCAGGAGCAGGTCCTGCCCTCTCTAGGTTGTGCAAAGACCATCTGCCTGTTGCCTTTCAAGCACAAATACAATCTGTTACTTTGTCAAAATAAACAACACATCTCTCTGATCATTTCTAGCCTGCTGCCTGCCTCCCCAGCTATGGGGGAGCAGCCTGTTTATGGCACTCTCCTTTTGGGGCAGAAGCTGTTACAGCTCAAACATTGCAATGAATATTTCATAGCTGCAGAAGCCAGAGACAGGGCTTTGCTCTTGCTGGGGCTGGCAGGCATTCAGGGCCATCCTGGCAGCACAGGAATGCCAAGTACTCCAAAAGCTCCATTTGATGTGTGTATATAATCCAAGGAACTTGATCAAGTCAGTGTAAGCATTGCCCTGACATTAGGATCACCCATGTGTCTATAGAATGGTCATGAACAGCTGGAACAACCAAGTTCTGCAACTAATCTATATTTCTGTAATTAATTATTTTTCCTATTTTAAACCCTTCCTCCACCTTTCATATTGCTTATGTGCTTGTTATGCCAGTAGATTGGGTACAATGGGCTAAAGAAGCCAGAAAACCTACACCCTAACTTTCTGGAGACCTCTCTCTTTTAATAGTACTTTCTTAAATTAGACCATCCCACATACTTCAGAATTTAAAGTCTTTGTGTGTGTGTCAGATTCTGACACATTGTTTAATGTGGGCTGATTAGCTGCAGTCACAGGTTAGCTAAAGTGTGTAAGCAAGGGGAAAGGTCTTTCTTCCCCAAACACCAACTGATTCTTAAAAATGTAGCTTATTAGCTTAGCAAAATATTAAAGATGTCTTTTCATCCTTTAAAAGGAGGTTTGAATCCTTTTTACTTATCCTTAAATGCAGCTAAGATCATGTCTTAATTATTCCTTAACCATATAAGTAAAAATACCAATTGAATGTTCAATCAAAGTCAACATAATTTTTTTCTTCATTCTGAAAGATATTTGTAAATCTCCATTAGACAAAAAAAAAAGGTAACAAACCCCAGAAAATAACATTGTTTTCAGCTGAGGAATACATTGTAGGATCCCTATCCACAACTCAGAAAGAGTAGCCAGAAGGGGATAGGGAAAATTCTGGGAATCATGAGCATGGAATGGCTTCTCCAAGGAATTAGAACAGGTCAGGAGTTCTAGCTAAGGAAACTGAGTGGTGGCTTGAGAAAGGACTGATGGTCTTGGCTTGGTGCTCTGTGCTGCCCAAGGATTGCAATTTTTTACATTAACTACTAAAATACCTATTTCAGTTTCTGAATTAGAGGAAAGCTGGATGGATGAAACCATCCATTTGTGAGTGGTGCTTTTGGCCACAGATCAATGGCAAACCAGGCACTGCCAAGCTAAAAGGCAGAAAAGCCTCTATCCTTGTGCATTTCTTTAAGAAAACTACTTGCAACAATGTGCATTTACTAGAGCCCAGCTTTTGGGTGCAAAAAGTGACACATTCTCTGTCTAGGGACTCCTGATGTGATGATTGGGGTTTGGCATTTGTAGAACTCTATTTGTGGGCTGTTTGAGCACCGTGTCACTGAACTCCATATCCCTCCAGATCACACTTCCCACTTCTCACCTGTTGCAAAGGGATCTTAGATCTGATTGATCATTCCTGTGCTGATTAGGATGTCTGTCCCTGTGCTGCTACACCCTCTGGTGTCCTTTGGAGCAGTGACACACATTTCCTTTCTCCTCTGGTGGCACATGGTCTCCCTGGCTCAGCTCCAGGTTCTTTTCAGAGCAGCTTCACAGGTAAGGACAGCACAGCTTTGCTTGTTTGTCTGCTCTCATAATTGTTCCTGAGTTTGATTTAAAACAAAACCATTTACCTCATTAGCTATTTTTCCCTGCTAACTACATAGCCCTAAAGGAAAAAATATCTCAGCTGTGTCCAAGCCAACCTTTGGGTCTCAACCTTTGGTTTGTCTGAGGCAGGACAGAGCAAGCCTCCAGAACATTTATTTATTGAGCAAGTGCAAGATTTCACTGCTCTCCCAGGGCAGAGCAATACATATCCAGGAACCATCACTTTATGAACAAGAGTGACCTTGAAGCCTTAAGGAAAGATAAAACCCAAAGTTTCAAACACATACTCCATTCCCAGTTGGAGCATCAAAACATGTTTTCCTATATAACTTTATGCATCAGTCACTGTTAAACAGCCAGATCCTTTAGGATTTTGCCTCACTCCAAGCTCACTGTCTGCACTCAGAGGAGGTCAGGAGTGAAGCACACTAATTTTATAGTGATAACAGTCTTGTTGAGGTTTCTGTCCTTCTAAATTCATTGAGGTTTCTCTCCTAAATCCATTGAGGTTTCTCTCCTAAACCCATTGAGGTTTCCCACCAGTTCCACAGTTCCCAGGCTGACTGGCAAACAGCAGATGGCGTGGTTGCTTCAGCACAGGAACCTAAAACCCACCCCCCCCAAAGGGGAATTCACCTGTAAGTGAACTTATGGGCTATGATTTGCATGTGGTGTCGTTTACAAAAGACACAAACCATGTGCAGGTAAACAGGCATTTTTATAAAAGGAGAAAAAAGTATGTACATCATAGGGAACAAATGCAGACTGTACTGGAATAGCTACCTATGT